ACGGTTACGTACACACACACACACACACACACACACACACACACACACACACACACACACACCCGGCTGGCACAGCTAGGTTCTTTATTCGTTTCTTCCCCCTCCTCTCTTGTGAGACTGGTGAGTGGTGGGGAGAGACTCTGCCAGCTTCTAGCAGGGCTGACCTTCACAAGGCAGTTGGAGCATCTCCTGTCCTCTCCAGCCAAGCTCCTGACCTGTCTGAAATCCTCTCACTTGTGAAAAACTCATGAGCGCGGGTGATATCATTCCTAGGTCAGCCCCATCGCCATTGTCCCTCTGCAGGGAAATAGGGAGTGTGGCCAGAGTGGCCCCGCTGCCATTGTCATCTGAGCAGCTCAGAGAGCAGAGCGTAAGTTAGAGCAGCCCTGAGGCACAGCAGGGTTACGGCTGTCGTATGTTTGGCATTGGGACTGAACTCCCCTTCCTGGCCTCACCCCTGCCAGGCATCAGAGGGATGTCGCAGATGATGTCACAATACTGGCTCCATGCCGGGGGAGGCTGCAGGTGGTCCCTAGACCCTGCGGCTGCGGCCCAGTATCCCAATAGGCCGTGGGAGGGCGGGAATAGCTCTCATCCAGCAGGAGGAGCCCTAGCAGGAGTCAGCTTTCTATGTGCTGCTACTGCCCCTTTAAATGACAGCACCTTCAGCCGTCTGCCTTGTGAATGACAGGCTTTCTGTCCAATAGGAGGGAGGGACTCCTCTGGTATCCGGGATTGACGTCTACAACTATCCAATAGATTGAGAAGGGCCGGAGGTTACCAGTCGCTGATTGGCTGTGGCTCGGAGTATAAATAAGGAGAGGAGGCGGGCGCGCTCCCTTTTCTTTCCCGGAGCTCTCGTGGGAGGTGGGTGTCCGGAGTAGGGGCGGCCCGCGGGGGACTCGGCCGCACTCAGCCCCCGGCCGGGGAGCAGATCACGGGGATCCGGGCGGGTCGGCCTTACCCCGGGGCTTCCCGGCTGGCTGGGCCCCGCCGCGGTTCCGGGTGTCGCTAGGCCTCGGGCCTGGCCACGCGGGGCCGGCTCAGCACCGCGGCAGGGACACGGGGCCGCGCCGGGCGCTTCGCCCCGGGATCCCGATGCCCGTGGTGCCCCTTCGTCTGCTCTACGGGATCCCCTCAGCGCGGGGTTGGAGGGGGCCCGGGGCCCATAGACGCCCCCCCACTGGTTCCCGTTTATCGTTCGGGAGGCCGGGCCAGCATGCGGCGCCCCCCTTTCTGGCGGGGGTGGGAGGCCAGGGGATAGGATGTGGCTGCCGTGATCTGGCTGAACCCTGGTCTCCCCACCTTGTCTCCTGTAGGTAACAGCTTGTCTTTAAACCCTTTGTGGCAATCCTTGGAAGCACCGTCGAGATGCCCAGGGAAGACAGGGCTACGTGGAAGTCCAACTATTTCCTGAAAATCATCGTAAGTGTCTCCCTTGGGGTGTGTTCTGGGTAGTCTGGACCCGGGGCTGGGATGGACGCTTGTCACTCATGGCTCAGCCTGCCTTGGCCATTCTCTGTATTACACCTGCAAACGCACCCCCAGGTTAATCCTAATGCACGTTTGGAGCCACAGACTTAATGGGGGTTGTGTTAGACAGCAAGGCAGGAGCCAGTCTCATCATGAACATGGAGCTGCAGTTTGCAGAGGTTACATGATCAAGGAGGAGCAAGCTATGCTGGGACCGTGGTCTCCATAGCTCTAGTTACCTACTCGGATTAATGGCTGTTGTAGCAGCAATTGGCTCCATTGTATACCAATGAGGTGCAGCCCTCAGGCTCCTGGAAAGTTGCCAGTGAAGTTGTTGATAGTGCTACTCAATTTTTGCCCAATTACAGCTGGATCTAGAGCAGTGGTCCCCAAACTTTTCATGGTCATGCTGCCCTCTTACCCTGAGCCAGAGTGGGACCGAGGGAGGGGGGGAACAAGATAAGGGGGCCTCAGCTGAGGGCAGGAGTGGAGCTCTGGCAGACCAGCCCAGGCTAGGTGTGGAGTTGAGTGGTGCTCCCTCCCTGCCACCTGTGGGAGCTGTCCCGGGCCTCAGCTGTGCTCCCCCAAAAGTTCCTCCACGCCCCCCACCTCGCAGTTTGGGTACCTCTGATCTAGAGCCTGGTACTCCACATTTCCCGCTGGTGGCTGCTGTTATGAGACTCTCAAGACTCTTCTAGATGTTACCTCCAAATTTTATCAGAAGGGGTCTCAGTAGGCTCCTTCAAGTGAGTTTTTGAAATAGACACTTGCACAGCTGTTGTCTCTCTTACAATGACTATACTAGCCATTGGCAAGTTTTTGAACATTTTAAAAGCAATTGGGAAGCCTGAGTAAGATCCCCAGAACACTTGGCTCTGGAAAGAATTAAACCATGCTACTAAGAATGGAGTCCACTGCAGTCACAAATAAATCATTCAGAAGAGCCTTGTAAACGTTAGTGCTGCTTCCTAGTTGAATATAATTTGTGTTTTTAATGCCTCAATGTGTTGTGTAGCAGTGAGATACTGCTCACAGTGACTGAGTAAGCAAAAGTAGCATCTGCAAAAGAGTCACACATCCAAGCCTCCTTAATGGAGAGCATTACCAAGTTGTTGACTCTTTACCAGGGAATCTTTCACAGAAACTGCATTAACATTTTTACAGGCATAAACATCACATCTCAGCTAAGCTCCTGGTACGTCCTGACTGTACTTTATTTGGAGGGTTGAAATGCATCCCATTTAGCATGTTTGTTTCCCTTAAATGTGCTTTGGGACGCCTCTATTTCTTCTCAGAGGGTCATCAGACTGCTGCTGGTATATAATTTTTTTCAGAAAGAATTGCACTCTGCCTTTTCTGTAGCATTGGGTTGGCAGCCTTGTAACCATATGTTTTAAGCAATGGCTCCCTAGCAACCTAAAGAGACTGAAAATTGTCACGTCAGGGTTGGTTTGGAGACTTGAGGGGGAAGGGAGGAAGTACCCCCGGAGTGGTAGATAGTGGGACAATTTATTTGATTAGTGCACATGCTGGTTGCTGGCTGGAATGTGTACCAATGTCAGCTGTTTAAGAGCCCTAGTCAGGTGAGAGGGATTTTTGGTTGCTTTGGGACAGGTTCTGGTTGGTAACGTTAGGTCAGATTTCTCAGCTTAGCACACAGTAGCTCCCATTTATGCACCTAAACAGAAATACTGGGTGCTAAGGACTTGTGGAATCGGGCCATTTAGTTAACGTGCCTAAATGGGACCTAATATTACTCTATACCCTGGTCTAGGTTTCTTCGTAAAACTCATTTGTTCTTTCTGTAGCAACTCCTGGATGATTATCCAAAATGCTTCATCGTGGGAGCAGACAATGTAGGATCCAAACAGATGCAGCAGATCCGCATGTCCCTGCGTGGGAAGGCTGTTGTGCTGATGGGGAAGAACACCATGATGCGCAAGGCTATCCGTGGTCATCTGGAGAATAACCCTGCTTTGGAAAAGTGAGTAAAATACTGTGATTCCACACACTGTTTCCTGGGGAAGACTGTATGTTCCCTGAAGGAGTGAAACTGAATGGTGCTGTCTTTCCTCCAGGCTGTTGCCTCATATCCGTGGGAATGTGGGCTTTGTGTTCACCAAGGAGGATCTGACTGAGATCAGGGACATGCTGTTGGCTAACAAGGTAAGGGAGGAGGACACTGTTGTTATAGTGCGTCTACTCAGGGAGGTTTTGGGGCCTGATCTGAAGGAAGGAGAAAGTGTAACACGGAACATTCTCTGTGGATGTGTGATTTTTAGAAGGGAGCAAGAACTGGGAACCAGGCATTTCCTGTGTTGTACTCTGAGCGCTGCCACCGACTTGCTGTGACCTCAGTTTCCCCATGTGAATAATTGGGAGATGCCGATCTCACAGAAGCGCTGTGAGGATGAATTAGTGTCTATACAGTACTGTCTGAAAGCCAAGCATTATTTTGCTTTCTCTTCTTGCACTGTTATGTTAGGTGCCAGCTGCTGCTCGAGCTGGTGCCATTGCCCCTTGTGATGTCACCGTGCCAGCCCAGAACACTGGTTTGGGTCCCGAGAAGACCTCCTTCTTCCAGGCTTTGGGCATCACCACGAAGATCTCCAGGGGTACCATTGAAATCCTGGTGAGTGCAGAGCAAAGTTCAGTGTGTTACTAGCAAGTGAAAGGTCATTCACAGCTTTCTAGCTGCTCCTATATACTGGGTGGCCCTGGTTGGACAGTTTGGCAATTCCACTGAAGTTAGGACTGTAGATTTGTAGCTACTTCATCCCTACATCCCCATGTCTTGTGCTGCTTTCCATGGCACAAGATCGATCCCACCTTCTATTGAGGACTTTGGAGGCATGTCTCTAAAGCATCTTAAGAGGAAACTAGCAGAGTAATGTGACAACAATAGGATATTGCATGACAAAGAGAGCCTGATTAAATAGGAAGCTGTCAGAGAAATTGGGCTGGGTAAGTTCTTTCTGCCTCTTGCCAAGCCGAGTGGGAGGGTTGTCTGAGCAGCTGATCTCCCATCCCTGACCTCTCAGATGCCTTTACCAGATGGCAAAGCAGGTCTGATTTGCTGACTGAGAGCCTGCAAATGCCCTCATCAGTGGCCCACTCATTCATCTTTATGATTCCATGCTGTAATTGAAGCGTAAGTCATGGGCTTGATGCAGGAATGACTGGTGAGGTTCTCTGGCCTGTGTTGTGGAGGAGGTCAGACCAGATGACCATAATGGGCCTATTTGGCCTTAAAATCTCTCCCAGCAGCCCTCTCCCTTGTAAAACACTCTTGGGAGAGGGGGACCAGCTTACATGGAAGAACAGCATTGCCAGTCTCCTGCCCCGCTTAGGCTCGGGAGGCCAGTGCTTTCCCTCCCTGTGAAATACAGTGGGTGTGGTGACAAAGGGGAGCTGTGTGATGACCTGGACTGGTATTTCACTGTGGAGCAATTTGAGGGAGAAGTTCCCTGCTCTCTTGCCACTTTTGGAGGCGGGGAAAGTGGGGCCTGAGGCTGCTTCTAAAGGCCAGGGGTGCCTATCGGGTTATTCCCCTTCATCAGGTCAGGTACATCTTACACTTAGATAGTGGCTTAGTATTGGCAGTTTTCTCATTTACCTGGAAGAGCTGGGAGAATAAAAGGGGTAACTTCTGCTAACTAATGGTGTAGGTAATAGTGCATGTTCAGTAACGTGAGAGAGGAATTTCAAGCCCAAGTCTGTTAGTTTTGGCAAAGGGTTTTTGAAAAAAGATGAATCCCTGAACAGTTTCAAGAAAGGTGGGATTTTGAAAGGCTTATCAGTGAGTATCGATCCATTTTTGACTAAACTGCCCTCACAAATTCAGACTATTTAGGTTCCATTCCTCACAGAGTAGCAGTAAAGAATAAATATTAAGACTCCTATAAAAACTGACATAATCTTAACTGCAGTGGTGTTACTGCTCTACCTTAAGTAATCTTTAAAGCCAGATGTCTAATTTGACTCCTGTGGAGAAGAAGGGTTTAGTTCCATCTAGCTGGGCACACCAGTATTTTGGGTACGAGAAACTCTGGTTTGAGTGTCTAATGGGACAGCCTAGGTCTAGATGATGTGTTAAGTGTAGCTGATTCCATTTGCATGTCTCATAATTATGGACCTCGCTTTGAAATGTGCCATCTGCTGGGTGGGCTGCTCCTCATACTTCACACAGATTGCTCAGCTGAGCTTTGAACATGTTTTGATACAGAATCATTTGTGGGTCTAACTCCTTCCGTCCCATCTACAGGTGTTTGTAACGTGAAGTTGAACCTTGTTGCGTCTCTGTGCCTGAGTTTCCCTGTAGCAGTGCGTTGCTCACTTTTTCCTCTTTGACTCTCAGAGTGATGTGCAGCTGATCAAGACTGGAGATAAAGTGGGAGCCAGCGAAGCGACCTTGCTGAACATGTTGAATATTTCCCCATTCTCCTTTGGGCTGATTATCCAGCAGGTGTTTGACAACGGCAGCATTTACAATCCTGAAGTGCTGGACATCACTGAGGAGACTCTGCACAGACGCTTCCTGGAAGTAAGAGCTGCTTGCCTGTGTTGTATGCCATGTCTACTGTATTCCATGTAGTTATGGGGATAGATTAAGTGCTTGGGTATCTAATCTGAAGTTCTGGAGGGCCGTGTGTGTGGTGTTTTCTTTTTCTTTTGAACTGTGAATGAAACCAGCACTGAATTCTAAAAGTGATTTTACAGATCTACAAACCTGAATAACAAGGTTATTGGCTTGGCATAGTCCCTTTAAAACTGGTCTGTGCCATTTCATTGCACTCCAGAGTTGGGAGATCCAGATGCAAGTGTGTGTCAGCCTGTTGGCCAGCACCCCAATTTTCCCAAGCTGTTTTGATGTTCCCTATCACCTTTGGAAAATTGTGGTAGTGCGAATCATGGCTTTGCCAGACAGTAGTCTTCTTGGTGGGTTGTATCATGCATCCCTGAATGCTGGGAATTTTGATTTGCAACATGGATGTGTTTTCTACTGGGAGCGATGTTCCATTCTGCTGGCTATCAGTTATGTATGAAATGCAGAGAATACAAAATCTGGAAACACCTTGTAACAAGTGTTAAAGGTATGTGGTTAAGGCTGCCTCTTGTTTGTCTCCTTTGCCAGAACCAGGCAGTTCTCTCACCCATAATACCCTTTATTACCTTTGCACATATTGTCATGGATGGTTGTGTTTACTTGCAATGTAATTCTCAGAGCTGAATGCTTGGAACATGAGCTTGCTTTCCCTCTTCCCCAGGGCGTTCGTAACGTAGCTAGTGTTTGTCTGCAAATTGGCTACCCAACCATCGCTTCTGTGCCTCACTCCATCATCAATGGGTACAAGCGAGTCCTAGCTGTGGCTGTGGAGACTGAATACACCTTCCCACTGGCTGAAAAGGTAAAGTATGAGCTAGACAGACTGGAATAGATCGTGCGCTGACTGAAGGCTCACAAACCAGCCTTTGAGCACGAGCTCTTAAAGATCTAGAAGGTTCTGCACTGAAAAGAGGCCTTGAACAGTGTGACGTGCATGTAACTGCAGTGCAGGCAGGGGGAATTCCTTGCTTTGTGGAGGTGCAGTTCTGCCTCTTCACCCTCAATCCTAGGAGTAGCTTACTGGCAAGGAGGGTGGAGAGCGTGCTTTCAGAGAGCATCCCTGTCCTCTTGTATGATAAGGCAACATTGCCCTCCTATTGATTGTCTTCAGTTTGTTTGTATAATGCATCCCTTGGGTTGCTGGCAAGTTGCTCGCATGGCCTTTGGGGTTGCAAAGGTTGTGCTCCCTGCTCTTAATTCCTGTGGAGACCCACTAATACGCCATCCGTTTTCAGTCTGGCAGTAGGATAGTAGATGTAAATTGTGACCTGTTTGTTCCCTGAAATTACTATATGCTTCTCCTCTTACAGGTAAAGGCCTTCCTAGCTGACCCCTCAGCCTTTGTGGCTGCTGCCCCTGTGGCAGCTGAAGCTGCAGCTCCTGCTGCTGCTCCAGCCAAAGAGGAAGTAAAGGAGGAATCCGAGGAGTCTGACGAGGACATGGGATTCGGTCTCTTTGACTAACTCCTGCCACGCGCTAACCAACCACTTCATCAACTGGTTTAATTAGAGAAATAAAGTGCTATTTTACACCCTCTGTTGTGTGTTTCTCGTGGGGGGTGGGAGGAGGAGGAATCATCATGCATGAACTTTCCACTGGTGTGAAACTTAATATGGATTTTGATCCTAAAGATGTACTTTTTTTGATCTTGCCTTCAATCATAAACACTTCCTAAAACAGCCATAAAATAATTTCAAGAAACCTTCAAATAACTTTCCCCTGCAGGTGAGAGCAAGAGGCTCCACACATGTCAAATACTAGTCATGTCACTTAGTGCACTTCTGCCTTGGCTACACTGGAATGTTAATGTGAATTAAAGTAGGGTGTGAATTTAAAGTGCAAGAGATATTCAAGAATCACTTCATGTGTGGATGCTATAGTTACTCAGTTGTGTAGACAAGCCCTGAGGCTAGCAGGAATTGAGCTAGTGTACTGACAATAGCAGTGTGGACATTGTCTCAGGTGGCAGCTCAGGCTGTCAATCTCACAAAAAACCCTGCGGCTGAGTTTAAGTGGCTGGCCTGAGTCTGCTGGAGCCATGAAGCACAGCAAATGTGCTCAGTGAATCACTGATAACTGCAGGCAAATAAGCAGGGTCCCTGTCCTGAGGAGCAGGCTACATTACTAATTACACAATGAAAACTCAGTCCATTGTTGATAAATTAGATAAGCCATGACTGGATCAGTTTAGAGACCGGTCTTATGAGGTTTACTAGGCTGCCCGTTGCTGCTTTAGAACTGTATGGGGCCAGCAGTGGAACATTCTCCATTGCAGGTGTCACCTCCTCTTCTGGAACTTGATTGCTCTGGTGAGCTTCAGATTATGCTGTAAGATTTAGCAATTCAACAGTCTGTTTTCGTTTTGCGGCCAGGGTAAGCTGGGTGTGTCCTGTGTGTTACGAAAAATGAGCGGTTGTGATTTTTGATGCTGTGGGCCAGCTGCGTTTTCATTATGTAAGACCCAGGCCAGAGTGTTAAGCCAAAACAAACAAGCCTGATTTTCAGAGTTGTAGAACGCCACTCCTTTGAATTCAATGAGAATCATGGGTGATCGTCACTTCCGAAAAATGACCCACGAATGGGTAAATGTGGATTTAGGAGCATAACTTTTATGCACCTGAGTTGTGATAGTAGGTTTAAAATAATTGTTTCTTAATGGCCTAACCTACAATTGCTATTTGGGAAACTGTCCATTTTCCAAGCGTTGTCATCTTGGGACTGGCTATTTCCAGGGTGCTCCCTGTGCTGTTAATTACTTGCTTTCTAATCCAAAAATCTGTCCCCCATGGTGATTTTATAAAGACATTGCAACCTTCTGCAAAAAGAGCTGACCTTCCCCCAGGCGCTGTGGAAATGGGATTAAACTCTTGGAGCAGGGACTGCCTTTTATGTTAGCACCGGCAGCACCTCGCACTATGGGACGCAGTCTATTACTAGGTGCAACTCTACCCCAGCAATTGAAGAGGGCTCGTGTTGCTACAATGTCAATATCTGCCTTTGTCAGCCTCTGAAGAGCGGTGCCCGGAGGCAAGTGACCAGCAGCATCCCCGTGGATAGTGGCGGAACCATCCAGGGCAGGGAGTGGCTCGCCCGCTTGGGCTCGTTCACAGGGCCCCGGCTGCCCTGGTCAAACCCCTGCCAGGCCGGATGCCGTGTGCCCGGCGCTGCAGCTGGGGGAGAAGGGGCTGTGCCAGGGACATGAGCAGCTCCTGAGGCCTCTCCGCGGCAGGACCTAGCCCCGCTCACCCGGGGTCAGACCCCGACCTCCAAGCATCGATATAGCCACGAGCCCCACCCCGTGGCCGGGTCTGCGCGTGACCCGGAACTGAACCGTGTAGTGCTTCCGGGGTCAGACCGGCGCGATGGCGGCCGACACGCAGGTGAGTGCGGGGGGCTGGGCCCGGCAGTGGCTCAGCGAGAGCCGCTCCCGCGGGCTGGCCGTGGGGCGGGCCGGCTCCGAGGCCCGGTTCCTTAGCTTGGCCCCTCTCAGGCGGCCGCGTCACGGGGAGGCGGCGGCGGCGGCTCCCGGGATGCGGCCTCTGTCACGGGGAGAAGGGACGTGGCAGTCGCGTCAGCCCCATCCCTCGCCGGGCGCCGACACCGAGCCTGCTCCCCCGCGCTCTTCCCGAGCGGCCGGCCCGGCTCGGCCGAGCGCGGCCTGTCCCCTTCTCCGGCCCGGGACAGGCCGAGCGAGGCCGCGCTTCCCAGGCCGGCTGCGCCCGCGCCAAGCTTTCGCCTGCCCCAGGCAGCCTCGTGTGGTGGTGCGAGCCCGGCCCTGCCGCGGAGTCCGGCCTGGCCGCGCAGGGGGTCGGAGCAGCCGCGGCGCCTCGCCCTGCGCGGGGGATGGGTCGGCACGGGAGGCGTTTGTAGAGCGTGACTGTCGCGTCGTCTGTGTGTCGGGGACGGGAGCTGTCTGAGCCTCAGAGCCGGCGGGATGAGCCTGTCTCTCCTGCTGGGCCAGGCTCAGGCAAAGGTCGGGGCTGGCCCAGCGTTTAACATCCGTGTTAAAAAGGTCCTTATCAAGTTGAAACTTACTCAGGTTCCAGAAAAAACAACCAGCTCTGGGCACCATCCCAGCCACGGAGACCCTCTGTCTGTTTTTGTGGTTCTACAGTCACATTGTTGTATCTTTTAAACAAATCTTTTTGTTGCCCTCTAAAACCTTCACACAAACAATAGAGGAAATTGACGGCTTCTGTAAGGGAACCAGTGACACTGACTATATGGAAAGACCTATCAAAAGTATAAAGTGAAAAATATTGATACATATTTTCTCTAGTTTTCCAGTTTCTCTGGTCTTGAGTGCTACTTGGAATATGACTAGGTTTAAAAAAATTCAGTAAATGTCCATTTAATGGCAAAAAAGGCTGTCCCTAATTCACTGAAAACAATTATGTACATAATAAAAATGTATTCCAATTTAATCACATAGGATATTGCAATAAAACTTGCATGCTCAGCTATTTTTAGGTGGAATCGGAACTGCTCCACGGTGTGTCAGATCCTATTATGTCGAACAGCTAGTGAAGATTTATCAAGTGGTATGGGCTTAGGCTTTAGGAGTAGGAGAGTGAGTTCTGTCCCTCATATTGCAGTGAAATTATAAATAGTTGTGATGTGCAGAAGAGTGACAGCCATACAGTTCTGAGCTGATTTGTTACAATATTTTCCTCTTTTCTCTTTATGCTTGTGGTGATGCACTTTCCACTATTTTGTGGGGGTTGCTTCAGAGAGCCCCTCCAAAGTCAGGTCTTATCTGGCTTGATATGTATATGTTTAGACTTCACTTTTTCATGGAACTTTTCTCTTGTATAATTTACTAACACATGTATGTCTATATAAATCTTAATAAAAAGAACAGTGGTGCATGAGACCTTTGCACAATGACTCCTCATCACTGAAGTTGCGTGAATGGTAAAAACTGCCCATTCCGTAGATTAGTGGATCAATTGGGAACCACTGGATTATAATGCAGATTTAAAATTATCCCAAGTGTCTGAGAACTGAGGTGTATTCATTGTAAATGGCTGTCATACCTATATATGGTCCATCAGTACTTACTAGACATCTTGGGTTTGTCTTTAACAATGGAAAGTTTTTTTAAAAACAATTTCTCACATGTTCGTACCTTAACTGGTAGGCTGACAAACAGTTAATATTGATGACTACCATCTCTCGACAAATTCTGCAGGTTGCTAGCCAGATTTACCCTACCTTTTGCCCATCCTTGGAGAGAAGCACAGGGATTAGGGTGGCTGAGTTGGAGGAAAGGAGAGATAGGAATTGCCTGGAAATTCCAGTCAGCAATTTTGAGGGGTCTCATGCACACAGACAAAAGCTTCATTGAGATCAATGGAGGCAGTTCATACTTAAGAGCAAATCCTGCCGTTTCCATGCATATGAAGGGACCTTTTATTACAAAACCAGTGGAGTTCTGCTTTGGAGGAGATGGATCAGGATTTGGGGAGTCCATGGAGGGGATGTATGTGTTCCTTGGAGTGCAGGGCACAGTTCAATTGGGCTCCCTGTGTGCCCCAATATAACCGATGAGATGCAGGCAGTATGGAGGCTATTTCAGCTTTGAAGCTGGAGTATTGTACATGAAGCATCTGAGGACTGCGTGCTGGGGTTGGGATTTTATATTTAGGTGGTTCTCATGCATCTACTGTCTCAGGCTGTCTGCAGATGCAGGAAATTGACACTACATCAATTGTTACTTGCCACCAGATGTGCCAAGCCCTGCTGTCAGCCTGAAACAAATTTTTGTTCATACATATTTTACAAAACTTTAATATTAAATGTTCTAATACATTTAAAAATTAAGGAAGCAGGTTATTACTGGGATTGGGATTTAAACATTCTCCTGCAGTGTTTTCAGTCCAGACATCACAACATGGTGCTAGTGCATGAAAACTGAAAAGTGAAACTGATTATACACCAAAGTGAAATTGAGTTCTCTAGTTCAACTTCTGAAACTGGGTTAGGTGTAAAAAGTAAACAGACAGTATAAATGGTGAAAATTAAATACTGAAACAAAAAAATTAACAATCTAATCTCCACTTGTGTGGTAACATAGGAAAGAGTTTTTTATAAATAGGATGTGACTTTTTAAACCTGATAGACATTTCAGTTTAAAAGGAGACGAACCCACACAAACTCCATGAACATGTGACAGGTGTCTGTTAAGGTACAATGAGAAACCTTTCACTTGTTGTTCCTCTTACATAATTTCAGTACGAAGTCATAAGTGAAACACTCAATATATGAAATTAAGCCTGCAGCATAGACTCTCATGGTGGAAGCTCCCCTTAAATGAGTGAGTGAGTGCGGTCTAGGGGCTAAAGTGCACCACTGGAAAGCAAAAGATCTGCATTCTATTCTGGTGCAAATTTTTCAACCTTTAAAGGTCACATGTACTAGGCAATTGATTTTACTGGTTCCTTAAGTGATTCACATGAGACACATTGCATTGTAAATATAGTCTGTCCACTTTATAAAAGGGTAATTGGAGTCTAATGGTACTGTATATTACTG